TTTTGGAGTATCAAGTTCACTATATTCAGTATAAGTTAAATATATCGTTTTTTTTTTTTTACCTTGTGCAATGGTAAGCAGCAGAAGGAAGATAGCTTTAAAATTAACACATGCTGTTGTTACAAGTAGAAAAAATTCAAACTATTTTCCCAGGAAAGTCAATCTCATAGTAATTGTGAACAAAACTTACTTTAGATCAGAAATTTAATTCAACAAAAAGACTGACAGAAAAACTCCTTTCTTCTACCCTTGCTCTCGAAGGCTGCTCAACCTAGTATCCAGGACCCTATGTAGTTAGGGAAGGGCAATGGGCCAATTGTACTAAGCTGCCTTCTACCCTAGAACACTATACTGTGAGTAAAATCTCTCACCAGCCTTTTAGATGGCTTGGGCTTGAAGGAGGTAGCTTCTGCAGCATTCAAAATCATATTAGAGACTTAAATAGCTATAGAAACCTAAGTTCAAAATTCTGATTCTACCACCTCCTAATTACATGGTCTTTGACAAGTGACTTAATATCTGAGTATTGATTTTTTCATTTACAAAATAGGAATAATAACATCTACATCACATGGTTGTTATAGAGATTACATAAAATAAATATTTAGCACAGGTAGCAGATAAGAAAATAAATAATTACAATGCAGTATAATAAGTGCCTTGATGGCCACAGATTATCGTGGAAAGAAGTTAAGCTCAGCCTGGGTGGGAGTTGGGTGAGGGAGGGAGGTAGAGGTTATCAGGAGTTGATAGTGGAGCTCAATCTTAAAGGAAAAACAAAAAGTAGCCAAATAAAGCAGAGTTCACACTCAAAGAAAAAAGGAAAAACGAGGGTGGGGGAGCTATGGGGCAGGCATGGGTATGTAAGGAAACCTGACATCTTTAGAAAACATCAATGAAAGGGAATTCTGGCAATTCCCAGATCTAACCTTCGTGGTTTGGTCCATTTACAAATATACCCACAGGATCATGACACATAGTAAATCTTTTACTTGGACAAGGCACAAATTTGAACCGTGAATAATGCATGACTAGTGCATTGACATCTAAAGAAGACGACTTCTGAGATATCAGGGTGACATAATGATCAGTGATGTTTTTGATAACAAATAGGGAGGTTTCCATTTAAAGATGAATTTAATTTTGAAATCTAAAATAGAGATGTTTCCTAAAGGCAACTCAGAATGAGGGATAAGAATCCAGAAGAAATATTTGGCCTTGTCTCCTAGAGTTCAGAATGTTAGTATACAGGAGATAATTAAATCCATGGTATCAACAGATCACTCAAGGATACCAGACAGTGAGGAAAAAATTATGACCAAAATATTTCTTATACATGCCCATTTTACTCAGTTTTTTTTTCTCTATATGTTTGTTTATTGTTGTTATTATCTACTAGATTTTACTCAGTTTTAATGCAAGGGATATATCTAGAGTACTTACTATATGTCCAGCATTAGCCTATCAAAACCATGCTCAGCATGAGGGAAGCACATGGATAAAGAAGTAAAGATAAGGGTAATAACAGTGTACTTTTAAGTCAATGAACGCTATTGTTAGTGTCACAGGTGACTATGTTAAGCAAGTAAGGCAGTGCTAGGTTACAGAGTTTTAATTACTACAATAAAGATTTTGAACCTAATCCTTTAGGTCTCAGTGCTCACTAATTTTCAAGAAACGAAGACATATCAGAATCTTTGAGAGTAAAAACCCTTGAAGATGGTTTTCTTGGAGTATGCTTATCAGAATCACTGCCCTAAACAATGGCAGGGCACTGAGTATGAGTATTCACTTCAGCAATGAATATTGTGATGAAAGTGATATTGAGGAAAACCACACTTAAAGGCCTGTGGGAAGCATTGGTGGGTTAAGAAGCCAGGAGGCAATGCATAAATCCAAAGACATGGGGGTGGATTTTATAGCGAGACAGATGTAGGTTCAAATCCCAGATCTAGCTACTTAATGGTTATGTGACTTTGAGCAAATTATAACCTATCTATACCTTAATTTATTTGTGGGTAAAATGGGGATAATAATACCTATCTTAAAGGTCTGTGATGAGAATTAATAAAATGAATAAATAAATATAAGTAATATTAAAATGAATATAAGAGTTTTGGTCTGTCACTGATTTTTATAACAATGATAATAATCATTATCACCTAGCAAACTAATTAAACAAATAGCAATTAAAATCTGAATCATAAAGTTGACTCATTCTTTAGAGTAACTCTAGTTCCAGCTGATTAAAAACAATGCCAGGTTAAAAAAAACAACTAAACATTTAAGAGGGCAAATCATCCCAGAAGTTGCAAATATTACTGACCACAAATCATTTTATGAATCAGTTCGATGAATATGGACTGAATGTGTACCATGTAAAACGTGCTGGGCCATGTATAGCAGGAAATACAAAAATGACTAAGATATAGGGGCCGGCCCGTGGCTTAGCAGTTGAATGCGCGTGCTCCACTGCTGGCGGCCCCAGTTCGCATCCCGGGCATGCACCGACGCTCCGCTTCTCTGGCCATGCTGAGGCCACGTCCCATATACAGCAACTAGAAGGATGTGCAACTATGACATCCAACTATCTACTGGGGCTTTGGGGGAAAAAAAGGAGGAGGATTGGCAGAGCCGGTCTTCCTCAGCAAAAAGAG